AAAAGTATCGTATAATTTCATTCATCAACATCGCACGTTTCTTATTATTTATTCGAAAATTGTGAAAGCACAATCTTCACACGCTTTATCATTACACGCGACGTAATACGACAACAAACGGAATTAACGCCGAATGGATTTATCATCAATCAAGATTATACATAAGTACGTACGTGCATAACATCCAATATATTTCCCTCTTCCGTGTCACTCTCCTTCGATCACTTTGTTAGTATTCCTACCAATGGAAACGGTTCAAGGATACGACAAACGGCACTCATCACCCGTGACGGGACGAAACGAACGTAATACTTTCGCCCTCCTTGGATATTCGTATCACTGAACGGTGCGTGAAAACGAGAGGGAAGGAGAGAGAAAAAAAAAAAAAAAAAAAAAGAAACGAGCAACAGTCGCGCGTGCAACAATGGTAACACCGGTACATAAACGAGATAAACGGATGCGCATCGGACACAAGTTTGGATGGCGCGCGGATCGGGACACCAAGTTGAAGGGTCACGTCGCGAGCGGAACGTAGGACGATACTGAGGAGCCGTCTGCTAGGCATGCAAACCTCATACCGCGCAAGGATCCTCGCGAATCCTCGCTTCTTTGTCCATCGACTGTCGCAGCTCGCTGTCTCTATTCCACTCTTCCCCATTCACGTTTCCAACTGTTATCCCATCTCGCTTACGCTCGCCCCGCTCACTTCCTCGCTTTCTCGCTTCCTCGCTTCCTCGTTAGAGTTTGCGATCCTCCCTCCGGTGTTAACCCCGCCGCCTCTCTTCATAACCCCTATTGCATCGTGCCTCTGTATCCGTACTTGTATGCGTGTATTAGGTGTATCGGACGAGCGCACGCGCTATACGCGCTGCTTACCTTTTACCATCCTCACCAGGAGAACCACCTTAACCACCCGCTCTCACCTTTTTCCTACCATCCCCCTCCGCTTCCTCTTTCTGTCTCCTTCTGTTCCGTTTTTTTCCTGTAACCCTCGCGCGCTCCTTGGTCATCCTCTTCCTATCTGTGATCCGATCCTATCTGTAATGCTTTCTCTTTTCTGAGATACGTTTTTTTCTACCTGAATGGAGTTCAAGCGTGTGCGTGTGTAAGTATGTGTGCAATTTGTAAGTGTGTTTCAATGTTGATCAAACGACGTGTATATGGTTGTGTAGTCCGTCAGTTGTTGCCCTATGTTTTTTTCCCCCTTTTTCAATTCACTCTCTTCTTTTCTACTTTTCTTTTTCTTTTTTCTTTTTCCTCTTCTCTCGCTTTTTCTATTACGACTCGTTCTATGCTCTAAAACGCTCTAAAAAGCATCTTGACCTCCTGAAAAAACTATCATTTTCCTTCCTTTTTAATTACCCTCCGGCGCGTCTTTCTCGCGATTTCTCCGTGTGACATTTAATCATCATTGTTCCGCGAATTTCCAAGTTTTGTATATTTGTCCTCTTACAAACTAAGAAAGTTTTCTTCTTTTTTTTTTTCTCTTTTTGTACACTATACACATATCGCTGAGCTTGTGTCGAGATCACATAGAAGTTTGGAATCGATTGAAAACTGAAGAATAACCGCGATAACAAGTTGATTCTATCTATCGTTGAATAGGTTTTCCTCGAAAGAAAGTTGATAGGATTATGTTATACACCAATGATATCGAAAGAGACAAATTTTTAAAAGAACAAACGATAAAGATAACACGTATTTTTTCTCACATCCTTCCAAGCAAATAATAAGAACTCGAGCGAGCGAACTCGAAAAAAGATTCCTTTCGCTTCTTTAATTTATTATTCATTTTGTTCGACGGACTTTTTCCTATTTTTATACAAATCTTTCATCTTGAATAAATCGTTCTAAGATATTCCCAAAGTATGAAGAAACTAGGGAGATTGCGCGTATTACTTGCGAAACGCAGTATAATATTTATGGATTTGGCTGGAATATTCTCAAAAAAAAAAAAAAAAA